TGAAGCGATTTTCGCATCTTTTTCGCAAAAAAAAAGTGAAAGAGCGTTCTGAGGAGGAAATGTGTTATTACCACCAGTAGAGGAAATTATATCTAAAGGGCTATGTTGTCAACTAACAATATGATTTGGAAGTTTTTTCAGAGAATAATATCATTCTTCGCAAAAACATCCAATCACATGCCTTAGCAACACTGTTCTGCTGACAACATATAAAAATACCGGTCGATTATCTATGAAGATTCACTTCGAGCTGGAATAAACATTCAATAAAACAAGTAAAAAGGTTTTCGCCCTAAGGCGAGTAACTTCAGCGCATCTTCAATGAATGGTCACTACTTCCCAAAGGCCATAGCTATGTACGCTGTGATTTTTTTTTCTTTTAATTTATGCTATAGGTATGCGATGTTTGTTTTTACCAGAAGCGTTTATGGTTAAACTTTAGAGAGAGATTTTCATAAGTAAAAAAGTTGGCATTTTGTAATCTGCGCATGCGTGGATTTGATTTTTTCTATGTGCGATATGTTTGGTTTTCCTAATGACATTTGTCGTTTTCGATTTTTACTACATGTTATATGTTTTTCTTTACTAGAAGCACCTATGGTTAAAACTTCAAAGAAATATTTTGATAAATAAAGAAGTTGGCACTGACTGCGCATACGCACATCTAATCTTTGCAATATCAGTTATGTTTGCCTTTAACAGAAGCATCTTTGATAAAATTTCAAAAAGCAATCTCGATAAATAATAGTTGATATTGCGCGCGCATTAATCTGATGTTTACAATATGCGATACGTTTGCTTAGACTAAAAGCAACTTTGGGTAAAATTTCAAAGAAATACCTCCATAAATAAGAAAGTTGCCGTTGCGCAGTCTGCGCATGCGCACAATTAGCTATATGCGATATATTTGCCTTCACCAGAAGTATCTGGGGTTAAAATTTTCCTTGGCTCAGGTGCTAGAGCTTTACACTACCGAATGCAAAAAGAACGAACTTAATATCTTGAAAACTGTAGGAGCAGTTAAGGCCTCGGACAGACGGACAGACGGACGGACAGAGAACGTGGCTGAAATAGCGCATCCGACTTCGTTAGAAAATGCGCTAAAAATGGTGAATGGTGGCCCGTCAAAACTCTGGAAAATGGGGAGGGGGGTTAACACACGTTCTACCCTTCATGGTGTTCTAACGAAAGGTCTCATCGAAAGGAATTGGTTTCTAGTAACTATAACCTAAAATCGCCCTAAAGTACGAGCAGTTGGTAAAGGAATAGTAAATGTGAGTTTTGCAAGTAACTCAAGTGACATACTTATTACTTAATGTGACGTGGTGACATACTCCTACGGTTAAGCAACACATCTTACATAAACAAATAGCACAATGGAAAAGAAACGAAACCGTATACGGCAATCGTGAAAACCCTTCGACCTTGACCGTTCCACGCAGACGTCGGGAAAAGGGATTATGAAGTGGCAGAATGGTCGGCGTGAATTTCATGTCACAATTTGTGATTATTGAATTTTGCCTTAGGATTTTGAGATTTGTTTATTGAAGCACGGCGTGCTCCATGATTTAGTGTTGTGTGCCAGTGCCGTGCCTAGAACTAAATTATGTGCTTTTGTTTATAACCTACAGGCGGATATGTCTTTATATTGTTTTATTTAGTATTTATTTATGTATTCGTGAGAAACTTGATTCTCACTATGGTGTATGTTTCTATTAACTATTTATACCGTGAAAGAAGTACGTCATACAGTTGCGATTCTTCGCTATGTCTGTTTCTTCCTCATCTCGTGCCCTCTGCTGGACGGTGCGTAAGCAATACAAGAAAAGGGGGCCCCCTGTGTAGTATGTAGGTTTATAGTGTGTGTGATAATCGACTTTACCATGATTACTGCACTCTCACCGGCACTGCTCCGTGTTAAATTAGGTAATAGTAGGCAACTGCAATGTCATTTATTGTTTTTTTATATAATGCTGTAACGAATTAATACAGTCATGACGTCCAACGTTGTGACGTAATGTATGATCGGTTCATTAGTAGTGCAGTAGTCATGATAGCACGGCGAAGCGCACTTCTTGTGCGTATTGTGTGCTCCAAAATAAAACATATTATGTTATGTTATTAGTAAATTAGGTATAAATGTGTGAGTTTTATTTATTTATTTTTCCCTGAGACCAGACGTTATTACATAGCGATCCTGCCAGGATGAACGATTAAAGTGTTTAACGTAGATTTAAAAATTCAGTAAAATGTTTAATGTTATAATAACGGGCAGTTCGCAATTATAAGAAGGAAAGAATCATCATCGAGGCTGCTGGATCGGGTAACAATAACGCCAATCAACCCAGTTCTGATGTCGAGGGCACCAAATTCACAGAAATTGGAATTATCGTGATCATTGTCCTGCTGTCCGTCGCCATTGCCTATTTCGTATGGGAAAAGTGGAAGAAAAATTGGGAAGGCAGTGTACGTCGAGAGGTCATCCGTAGCCACGAATTACTTGCAATTCCTGCACGAACCGCCCCAAGAGGAATTATGAAGAACGTTAAACGAGTAAGAATTATGGTAGAATTAGTAGATTTTTAGATTTATATGCTAGGGCCAGTGCGTTTTTAAATAATAGGAAGCAAGTTAAAAAGTAATCGTAAACGATTTACATAAAGCGCATTTCCACTTACATTCATTTCCCATTTGTAAGATGCAACTTCTGTTAAAATCGTAAAAATCCGGCCACAAATATGAAAGATAGCGTTGCACATGGGCAATTCATTTTTGACGTGCTACTTCAATTTCAGTTTATACGAAAAATTTCATTTCAATGCTTTTCCAAATAAGAAAGTTGGAACTGCGCATGCGCAAAATAAAATTTTGAAACTGGCGCTAGATTTTCTTTTATTCCAAGCACCTATGTATCAAATTTCATTTAAATGCTTCCATAAATAAAAAAGTTGAGACTGCGCATGCGCAAAACCAAATTTTCGTTAGATTTTCCTTTATTCCAAGTGCCTATGTATCACATTTCATTTAAATGCTTCCATAAATAAAAAAGTTGGCACTGCGCATGCGCAAAACCAAATTTTGAAACGGGTGTTTGATTTTTCTTTATTCCAACGGTCTCTGTCTCTATCTCTGTTTTTTCTACCTTTGGGGGGTTGGGGAGAAAGCTCAAAGGGGAGAAGCGGGGAATTTTGGGGAAATACATGTCTCATGAGGTTGTATCACATTATAAAAATCCATTAATTAGTGGCGACAAAAAAGTTTTATTGATTGGACTAAAGTGCCTATGTATCAAATTTCATTTAAATTCTTCCTAAAATAAAAAAGTTGGCACTGCGCATGCGCAAAACCAAATTTTGTGACGTTAGATTTTCATATTCCAAGTGTCTGTATGTATCAAATTTAATTCAAATACTTTTATAAATAAAAAAGTTTGCAATTCGGTTTATAAATGGTCCGAGATGCGAAAAGCGCACTGCGAATTTTGAATCGATACGACTCAACTGTTGGCATTGCGTATTGTATGGCTAAAGCTATGCTCATATTGAATTTCATGACATTCAGTTAATAACTAACGGAGATGTAAAAGAGATCGGAGATTTCTAAATAAAGTTATCGTTCACACGGAAAGATAGAGGGACAGACAGACAAAGGAACAGACGGACAGACCCACATACAGACGACAGACAGCAATACAAAATTATAAACGATCTCTAGGATCGTTAATAAATGGTAAAAGTGTAAAATTATGGAACATGTAAAAAACGGTTTTTTGGTTTCTTTTGCAATAACTTTTTTAGCAATAAACGCAGGAAAAATTCCTTCCTTGGTGCAAGCCACGACACCATAACGAACCAAATAGCAAAAAAAGTAGAACAATAGCTCTTAAGATAAAGAACTAGTAGCGTATAGAACGAGCGGACGGACTGACGGACAGCCGGACGGACGGACGGACAGCCGGACGGACGGACAAAGTGGTAACAATAGCCTGATTTTTACTTCACAACTCGAGACTGGACTGGAGGTGTTTGATTTGTATGTTTCTTTTTTCATTTTATCAAGCGGCAGAGCAAAGCGATGCAAGCTTTATAGGGAAGTCGATGGTGTCCGTCTGTCCGTCCGTCCGTGAAGGCGTGAACACGATCATTGTCAAACGCTTGGACCGATTTGATTCAAACCTATATGCCACAAGTAATAAGCCATTGAAAATGGGTCAAATCCAATGACCCCTTGGGGTTACGCCTTGCTGTCTCTGCCAAACGCTTGAACCTATTCAGTTCAAACTTTGCACAGTTGACCTATATGCCACATGTTGAAAATGGGTTAAATCCAATGATACCGTGGGGTCACACCGAGGTGCTCTGCCGCTTTTTTAGAAGCTCTAGAGGTTTATTGATTTATTTCTTGTATTTGTGTGTGTTTATGCCTGGTTTTTTCTTGCTGGTTCTTTTTTTTCCCTTAGGCTTTTCGGTTTGGATTTGCTACGCGGAACTAAACCTCGTACATAATAAATAAATACCTCGATGTTATGCAAAGCTGTCGCCTGTCTAATAAAGCGAAAACACACATCAATGTGTTTTGACCGCTTTGGAACTTCGGATTTTTATACAACTTGATCGTACTTTCGTTCACAAATAGGGTAGGAACGTGATTTTCATGGGAACTTTCATTGATAAGTCTTGTCAGTCATATCGCCTCCGTAATGGTCTCACTGGCAACTAGGTAAGTATATGTATTCTGCTTCGGTTGTAAACCATCAGTTCTTGATCTTTTGGTTGGGTTGATTTATAGTAATAAGTTTTTCATAGGATAAGAATTTTCAATAATTTAAAACTTTATGAAAAGACTATGATAGCCCTGGCTCTAATAATGAGCATACCGGATTCGTAAAGATCTTGAGAGTCATGATCACTGTATCTGTGGGCTTCCATTATTGACTCTCGGAAATATACAGTAATAACCACATGGTACAAGCCAAGAATATTAAAACTAGGAATAAACTATTCTTTTCATACGGGGGATTTATTTAAAAATAAATGAAAAAAATAAGACAATATAAATAATGGCATATGAATCACTAAACAATACGTAATTAGTGAACACATTCTCAAACTTAAATAACATTAAAGCAAAACTCAAACGACCACTAATATACAGATGATTTTTAAGTTAATGAACTTCACTTGTTAATCTAACTTCCTAATTAACTTAAGTAAAATGCACCCTTTCTTTATCTTCATGCTTATCCATTGTTATAAATAAAAATTAGAACAATAAGTAAAGTTACAAAATGCGCTTTTAAAATTATATGTGTTACTACATCTCGTAATATTAAATCTAAGTGCTTCTAGATTTCCAAAATGCCAGCACAAGAGTTTCGCCACCGTAACTGCGATCAGGAATCCATATCCATGTGATTGTTATCAGGTTCTTCTTCATTGTTATTATTTTCTTTCGAGATGGGCGGTACTATTGGCGGAGTCCATGGAACGAGAGCGGTACATGGCCTGTAAACCTTATCTAATATTTGAGCAGGTATTATAGATTCAGTTTGTAAACGTTGCATTTCCTCGCACATATATAACCGACGTTCACGTGTTGGAAGCGTCTCGGTCGAGTTTGGAGTTTGTGAGCTAATATGCAATCGTGACATATGTTCAGCCATTCGTTCTTCGGTAATATGCTGCTTTAATGGAACATTTCTGAAACCGCTTAGATGTAATGGTTGTACGCACTGTAAGGATACTTACGAAGGAGACTGTGTTTTCCGTTTACCGCCAAACGAACCAATTTTATCAAAACTACTCATTGGTACATTTAAGGGTTGGTATGAGAAACAGTGAGGAACACTCGTAGAGCACTCTATGGACACAGGAATTTGGGGAGAGAATGAAAACCCATTCGAAGAAGAGGTGGAAGGTAAGGAGTAATTCGAGGGTGGTACATAGAAGGAATAGTTTTTGAAAGGTGTCACATCGTTCGCCAAATATAATGATGATGAAGGTATGCCAGAAGGTGAAAGTAATGGATTTATACTTGGCGAATTCTCATTGAATCGAGGAAAATCCAATGGCGACGGTTGGTATGGAAAGCCAGGTTTATTTCCCTGATTGGGGTCTCCAGTCAAACTCATCGTATATTTATTTCAGAACTGCTACGATAATTTTCTTTGTACATACCACTTTATGGTAAGGGTGAGAAATTCTTAATAGGGCTTTTGTCGAATTTAATTCGAAAAAGTTAGTATTTATCATAATATAACCTCAAAAATCATTGTTATACAAAAATAAGGGTATTACTACAGTGTCACCAACATATAGTTTAATATCCCAGTTTGTTCTTCGATATATATACAGGGTGCGTACATTTATTTTTAAAATAAGCCATTGCTTGGTTGGTTAGTTATTTTTATTTTATAATAGTTCAAATGAAATACGGTTGATGATGCCAAGAAAACATTTAAATTACAGAAATTTGACAGTAGTTGACTCAACAATCATAAAAGAAGAATTTCAAGATCCCAATTTTTAATATACATGGGTGCAGTCATTAACGCTTGCCAGGAGAGAATGCCAGTCACAGAACACCTGATCCCGGTCTACAATCGTAAGTTTTTCATATTAGCTTTGTTTACTCATTTACAAAGACATTAGCTTTGTTTATTAATTATTCCACCGACCGTTGGTACTTTGGGAAAAATCCAGAGGGCGTGTTGGGTAAAGTGTCGCTTTAAATAATTCTCAACATTTTACAATCGCATCAGCACAAAAGACGCATATATATGCATCCACGCGAAAGATGTACCTGTACCATATACTGTCATCTACCTATAATTGCTTCAATATGGAATATTTTGCTAGTGTAACTTTGTACAAACATAATACTACACTAGATAGACACTATAAATTCCGAACGAATTTTTTCCGCAAAGATTCTTTTCACAGAGTGAATGTTTTTCACGCAATAGTATGCATTAGTATTATAGATTAGAACAATGGCTTTTTATATTGTGCGTTTGTCTTCAAATACTTACGGCCTTTGTACGCTTAATCTGTGTGTGACGGTCCTTTCTCGCCTTTAATTTAAAGGAATATCAGCAAACAGTTCCCGAAAACTTTTAAACAGCCATATTTTTATAAGGAATGGTACTTTATAGTTTCAGCCTGACAGTCTACTTATACACGGTACCTAGGTACTTCGTTATCGACTAGAATTTAATCATATCAACATTATCTTTAACTTCTTCAATGTTTAAGGTTTGCATGAGGATTAATACACAATCATTAAATTGCAATTTAAATGAATATGTTTTCCTGCATTTGACAAACTGAAATTGAATGGAGCTGGGCAAGGTAAATCAATAAATGAACAGAGTAATCTTATAAATATTTAAATAGAAAATGTCAGCATTGAAAGTGTGTTTTTATCTGTGATATGTGTAGGTACTCTAAAACAGTAAATATCGCACGCCACTGAACCTACACAACTTCCTTTAATGCATTGTACGGTGAAACATTCAACTTATAAACGTCTATGTGCTTATAAACCCTTCGCTTTTTCATTACGCATGATTACCAGCTTAAGGTCCAATTGCACCGTCAAACTGGGGCTTATACCTATCTTTATTAATAGCACAGCGATATTCAGATGAACAATAAAATTAGTGTGAAGTTACACTACTTCTCCCCCACCCCTCTCGATTCCTTTTTTAGATGGTAGGATCTATAGCACATGCAGTAGATTGTAATAATGAACATTTTTAAAATATAAATAGTGCCTTGAAGACTTTAGAGTTAACTTCTAGAATTAGAATGTGATACTTACCTGAGACTGTGCGATTTGTTGCTTTTTGGGCTTAGTTCAATAAGAACAAATAGGTAGTCTAAATAAAGATAATAATAATTTAAATTTATTTTGAATAAATACTACAACCGTAAACAACTTTTCGTATGTAACTTGTGGCACAATCTTTAAGCCTGACTTTGAAAGCTCTATGTTTATATTAATTTTTAAATATATTTATTTAATAATTATATATAATATAACCAGATCTAAACTTTGAATTAATACTAACGTTGGTCCTTACTAAGAAATCATTTGGGTATTTAGGAAAATTCCCTAAAATCACAACACTGACAAAAAACGCCAGAACTCTAAATAGCATTCACGTCTCACTGACGTCAACTATCATTCAAGTAATAATATAATAGGGACTTTCATCTAATAAAATAATTACTAATTTAGGAACATTCATAAATAGATAAGCAATGCCATTTAGGAAGGTAACCTAAATCATATAATTATTTTTGTACATAGTTTTTTTAAGTAGTAAAGAATACTTGATGTAAATACTAACTTGACTTAGAATGTAGACTAAAGGTAGTGATATAATCAGTATGTATGGCACATCTTTGTATCCATCGACAGAGCCTAAACATAAATGGCATCTGCAAGTGGGACTGCTTCATAAAAACTTACCACAAAAAGAATTCTAAACTACTTTACTAACTTATGCGAAGAATTCCTTTTTGCTAGACATATCGTACTCCAGCTCTTCATTTTTGTACATCTCGATTTTCTTCTGAATGTCGTGCGATAACATCTCTAACTGCTTGTCGTGCTTCAATTTCAGCTTTTCTTTCTCTTTGCCCTGCTTAATTGTAGCGTTTTTACGCTCGTCCAAGAATTTCTTGGTGTTGTTCTGCTGTTTTTCGCGAAGCCGTCTTTCTTTTTCTTGCTTGGTTTTTAGTGTCTTATCGTTGTTGATCTAAAATCGCTGATTAGTGGTATTTCGAGTGTTTGTAACTCACCTCTTTTGAAGTTTCGACAGATATTTTCGCTTGACGAGCGTTCATTTCCTTAAGTTCTCTCTCGTGCTTGGCTTCCATCTGTTTCATTTGACCCAACTGCAGCAGTTCCATGTGCTTTCGGAGGGTGTCGCGCTGATCGTCTAACTGGTTACGTAAAAATTCCCATTCCTGTTTTCGGTGCCTTTCCATCAATTCCGTCCACTGAACAGTCTGCTCCTGCACGAGTTTTCGAACAGCTGCATCATTAACCAAGTCATTTTTACTAAAATTGAGGGTTAACACATATGAGAGTCGTTAATGGTGTTACCCACTTTTTGCCTTTAATTAGCTTATCGATGGCGGTGCATTGCGACTTCTGAACACTCAGTTTCTCCTTTGCTTGCTTCTTTTTTAATGCATCGTACTCTTTCTGTTGTTTGCGGGTGCTTTTTTGGAAACCTTTGTCCTGTTTGATATACTCGATGGTAATTGGTTCAAACACCAATGGCTCTGAAAGTCAGAGTTTGTCAAAGCTTTTTTACAACTATTTATGTATGCATACCCTCTTTTTTCTCTTCTTTCTTTTCTACTTTTGCCGCTTCACCCTTTCCATCTGTGACCTGATTTAATAAATCATTTAGAAACCTGAATCTAATTTGGAGTCTTAATAGACCAACTCGTACTATTGCCAACTTCGTCCTTACAGAAAAAATATTAAGCAACCTTTTTTTATAGGGGATGATTCCATGTACGTTAGGGGGGTTACCCACAGAGAATGTATTTACTAATAAGCAGCATTTTGTTCAACATACAAAATCAAGACACTGAAGTAGAAGAAAAAGTAGGATGAGTGGCTCTTTTTCAAAGACACAGACATCTTAAGGGAGTGAGGATAAAGCTACAAGGTACAGGGACCAAACCAGAACACCACCTCCAGTTTAAATAATAATAATAATAGTAATTAACTTTAATTACAATTCTTTTGTGCGTGTTAGTAGGTATATAAGGCTGAACATGGACCAGTTCAAGATTGCTCGCCACCTGGTAGTGACCTTGGAACGTAGAGAAAGATAAAGCTCAAAGATAGCTCGTCTCCAAAAGCCAATGATCCAATTTTTTTGAGGTGTTTCACTTCGAAGGTCACACAAGGTCAATGGGCCCCTGTGCTGTGGTACACTTTTTAAGGGCATCCAAGGTCAATGACATAATGTTTGAGGTGTCATATTTCTATTAATTCATTTGAGAAATCAAAACTCTGTTTCGAATATTATAAGAACATCCACCTAATTACTAATTGGACAGTGACTGTATAAAGACAGTGTGGCTATATTCCCCACATGCATCCCTTCGCACGCGGAGTATCTAATCTAATTGTAATTGGCGCATAATTGGTAAATACCGGAGGAAGGAGATTATTCTTTTATGGAAGTGGTGTTCCTTTAAATACGTGAGACAAGGTAAAATTGAGGTTGCTGTCTTTAGTTCGCAATGGTGACAATGGCGCGTAATTTTGTTTACGCTAAGTTACGGTCGTGTGGCTCTTTTAATTCTGTTGAAGACGCAGTTCGTCGTCGAAATACAGTGTGTAAAAGAAGCCAAGCAGTTTTTTTTAAGGGTATGCCCGTTTTCAGAAAAAGTTAGAACGACTGCGAGTCAACAAACCACTTGGTTAAAGTTAAAAATGTCTGCGTTCAGAGCAGCCACGGAGAATCTGTTTCATCTTGTTTGTCAAGCTAGTTTGAGCTAAGAGAAAGTGAATTTTCCTGAAGCTAAGTGCGCCTGAATAGCGCAATCCATTTCACGACCAGATTATTTGGAGTATTTAAAAGAGAAAAAAACCAAATAATTTTAAGATTTTGTTTATTTTTAATTATCGAACGCTTGCGTGCGGGGTAATTTGTTTAAACAGGATTTGTAAGCTTCTCTTTCTTCCAGGAATTGCATGTTTTTCGGAATAAATTTTTGTTATTGTCCACCAATTAATTGATTTATTTCAGGTGTTGATCAAAATATTCGTAAGTTGATGGAGGCGCTGCCGCTGATATGTCTCCTTTTGCACTATTACCACATAGAAGAAGGCAGTGGTGCAGAAATAAAGTCGCTATTTGTAATCCCCTACAATAAAAAATAGCGGTGCCGAGAAGGATATCCTGGTAATGTAATTCCCGGCAAATTTGTTTAAATAATCGCTGTGTTTTTGATTGCTTTATTGTTCAGTTGGATTACGTTCTGAAATATTAGGGACATCTGGACATAATTGCACTGTGTTTTTTAAAAGTTTATCTAACTTAAATCTGGTCTGTTGATAGACTTCGTAAAAGTTAATTAATTTGTAAATAAACACGTCTCCGCATGTTCTGCAAAAAGTGGCCCCTGTCAAAAGTTTCAAAAGCATAGGAAGTGATTGTGAAAAAAAAAGTGGCTTTAGTTAGATTTGCATACACAAGAAAAATCCCTATACCATCTTAAGTGTTAAAGACATGATCATATCTAAAAAATTTTCAGGAAATGCTGCGCTGCTCAGTGCCTTTAGTACTGGTCCACCTCACGCTTTGTCTCTCATCTCTCAAATAAACAGCAAAAATTGGGAACTGTAGGATGCAATTAAAACATACCTCAATTCCTAAAGATGACATCTGTTCGGTTTGCTTCTGTTGGGCGCCCATAAATCCTCTGGGATCGCTAAGAGCCGCCATGAAATCTTCAAATCCATCCGGCACATAGATCTTGAGTTCAATGTTACAAAACAACATAGGCAGAGACATGGGAAAATTAGCTTCAGTTCTCAGCGAAATATGTCTATATCCAGCCTGCAGTCCATCCAGTGGAAGAATACGCTGGCCAAGTAGTTTATCTGAAAAAACCATGCTACAACTTACACATCCACTTTTAGGGGCTTACTATTTTCGTCGTATACACCAAAACGTAACACAGCCAAATCAGGCAAGACGACCTTTCTGAACAGAAACGCCTCCTCGTTGTATACAGGATTCAAACCATTCCCAGGTACCAATCTTGTACGAAATTCCTTTCGAATCGTATCGGTCGGCAACCCATACATGTCGACCTCGACGTACGTCCCAACCTAACAAAGACATCAACACCCCCACCCAACTCCATAAAAAAATCATACCTTCTTATCTGACAAGAACTGTCCCGAAATGACTTGCACAGAACATTGGGCGGCGATAACACCATCGACCGGACTTTCGGAGAATGGGTCAAAGATACGATCCGAACGGCGCATGAAGTCGGGTTTCAGTAGATAACCGCAATTTCCGTTGTATTCGAACTTTCCTTGGTTGAGTTGCATTGGCAAGTCGGACGTTTGGAAATTGAGCGAGACCATTTGACAGCCCGCGTTCCAAAAGACCTAAACGCAAGGCGTTCAACTGAAATGTTTCAAGCGCTTTTTTCGGCTTACCTGTGGCATGTAGTTTGAGGAGTTCGCCCGCGTTCCGCTGGGATAAATACGGGACATTTGTTTCTTGTTGTAGTTAACGAATTCGATTGATGATGATTTTAGATAATTTAGTCCCACTGGTTCCGAGAAACTTGACATGTTGTGATGTATGTTTTTTTCTGGAAAAGTAGAGATGCTAAGTAGTCATTACCAGTACATCATTGTAATGTTGCAAACATGAGAGTTTGAAAAGTTATTTTAAAAAACTCTCCATTTTCGTTGTTCGGCCAAGAATTGCAGAGGAACTTTTTTTTTCGAATTTTCAAAAACTAATTTCAGATCCGTCATTTTCATGTTAAAACCCCCCAGATATGAAATTTCATCGAAATAAAAAATTTTTCCCCCCCCCCCCCCCCCGCGCTCTTTGGTAGTAGGAATTTTGAAAAAGAAGAAATTAATTTAAATTAATTAAAAAAGAATTTTTTTTACAAGCGGTCATGCAACACCCTGTATACACCATAGTTTCATGAGGCTTCGCTATATCTATTGTCTCAGTGTTTTTTAAATTTTTTGATTTTTCTCAACATATTAAAAGATGTAGCTTTATTTTCTACAATGCGCCTTTTACCCATTTTCGCCTGGTGGTAAACTTTGCTGCGGCGAATGGAAGCACAAGACGATATTTTCAAAATACGCATTGGTAATCGAAATATCGCATACAGGGTGTGCAAAATGTAATAATCAATTTCATCAGTTCGAAGATTGACAAAGTTCGTTTTTTCAAATGTACACACCCTGGATAATATTTGATGGTTGGATGCATATTTTTAAACTTTCTCAACCTTGAAAATTGAAAAATTGGTCCATACATTTTGGAATCCTGTACGCGTCAATATTAATAATTAATTAATAGGTATATTACATACAGTGAGTGGCTATATGGCACAAATTCATTCAAAAAATCAGGCGTTGGGTTAAAAAAAATGCTTGCACACTGTCCATTATGCTTTTTTCTTGTCATTTTTTGCACTAAAAAGAAAATATACAGGGTGCGTCAAAAAGTAGATCTTGATACCAAAGTCGATTTTCCGTATACTTAGACAGCACATAGCGTATGTATTATAAGAGGGAAAACAACATATGAATACCGCAAATGCAAGTGCAAATTTGGTAAATGTTTAATGGAACGCCCTGTATATTGAATAGATCTTTCTCATTAAAAAATATATATCTTGACATTTGCATTAGCTGTTTTTGAAATATTTTGCATTTATAGTATATTATCAAATTGTTTTACCAAATCACAGTAGCCAATACAAAACAAACAATTTGTTATTAAATAAAATATTATTCTTAGCCTGCAAATAACCTAGACTACACCAACTGTACTTTTTAATATTTATTTTCAATAAACAAAATGTAACCAAAATTTACAAATGTTGGATTTTATCAACATTGCTTCTAATACATTTTGTGTAGTCTTTATCCAATTTAAGCAAAGTTTGCTAAGGATGTTCAATAAAAAATGGCCAAGGCAAATAGCAACACATTATATATTTTGGAAATGTGAAAGAAAAGATCTATTACATTTTTGAAAAATATACAAGGTGTTCCATTAAAAATGAATGAAATTTGCATTTTGTACTAACTTGGTGATATTCATTTGATTTTTTACTTCACAGTTTCTGGCGATTTGTGACCCCCCCCCCCCTCAACTTTTGTATTTAAAGTTCTTTTTCGCAGGGTAAATATACGGAGTAATTCTGTACAGGGCACTTAGAAAGTTATGGAATTCCGAATACTGAAACTGAAAAACGTAAAATGCCGTTTTTTCCCGTTCCCGTGAGAATTTCTGAAAGTGCTTTCGTGGGCATATGTCCAACCATTCCCCAATTTTCATCATAATAGGATAAGCGATTTAAATAGACATAAGTGACAGACAGACAAACATTTTTTAAATTGATATAGGGTTGAGTAGGATAACATGGCTATCTTTGTTATTATTATACTTACAGATACGGTTAAATTGGCAAAGTTGTGTAATTTTTGGTGCTTATGGATATTCCGATGCGATATTTTCAAAAAAATAAATCGTTTCGTAGATAATTGGAAAAAAGTGAAAATCGCCATTTTTAAAAAGTTTCAAATAAAAGTTGCTAGATTCGATGGGATAAATTCAATTTTGCAGAACGGCGGTTTGCGAGATATTTACATCAACTTCCTTATTTTAAATAGACGCCATATTGGATTTTTACGCCACTCGATAGAGAAAAAAATTACTAAACCAGTGATACTGAACACTTAGTATTTAATTTGGGAATTAACCTTGCATTTTTGCCTCGAAGTTTACAATGCATTTCTTATGGCAATAATTCCATGGCCGTATTGATGGTGACTATGCGAGACAATAAACGAATGAATTTGGTTTAAATCATAATCAGTCATGGAATTATTGCCATAAGAAATATGAGAAATTGTAAACTTCAAGGCAAAAAACTGGAGAGTCCCGCTCAACCCAGTTTATTTACCAGCGAATCAGTCTAGAAATCCAACAAGACAATGCCGAATGTATTTTAGGAACCTTACCTTTTTTTTTGTAATTCTTTTGACGAAATTTACTATGATTTAAAACCTGGTTCCTATATGTAATTTTTTCCTGTTCTATTATTTTCATTATATTAATATTATTATTGTTTGTAGTATCATTGATTTTGTCATTTTTTTCTCTATTGAGTGACGTCCAATATACCATCCATTTAAAGTAAGGAAGTTATGTCAATATCACGAAAACAACCATTTCGCAAAAGTTTTGCCTACACCCATTGAATGTATCCCATCGAATCTTTAAACTTTTTTTCGATAGTTCTCTTCGTTACTAAAATATTTAAACGTTTAAAAATTTTCACTCTTGGTCCAATTATCTATGAAACGATTTTTTTTCAAAATACCCCATTAGATATCCATTAGCATAAAAAAATACACAACTATGCCAATTTAACCAAATCTGTAAGTATAATAATAACAAAGATAGCCATGTTATCCTACTCAATTTAAAACACCCTGTATAGCAGACTCGACGAACGTTGTATAGCTTATCCTGGCGAACCTTGTATATGTTGGGCGCAAAGCCCGAAAACGGCCAATGGTCGTTTTTTTTGCTCAAGCTTAGGACTGGACTATGTAAAATGACCAACGCTCGGATTCTAATTCAATTTCGGGCTTTGGTCGTCCTGAAGCAGCCAAACCTAACTTTGAGTAATTAGGAAATAACCAAAGCTAATACACATTCAAAATCTTTGGAGAGGCAACCCATAAATGACGTAACGCACTTATTTCGAAATTTGGATCCCCCCCTTCCCTCTATGTAACAGTTTTGCCAACTTCCCGCCTAAAACTACTTTAATATTTTAAAAACCAACCCCTCCTTTTTATGTACAAACATTTTTTATTTTGATTTCATTCAAAATTTTATTTATTTTTCATTTGCTTATTATACAGAGTGGCCCAACGAAAAGTATACAGAGGGCTTTTAGGGTATTAAATTTAGAAATTTCGAAAAATCCTCGAACACGTCAATTTTGTATTCGAGAGGGACAACAAATCACGAACCCAAGTCTTCAATTTGCTTTGCTTTTTATATTCTATTGATTCGTTTCGGAGAACTGACAGGTTCACTTAAGTTTAACAAACAAATTGAAGCGTCAAAATAAAATTTTAATACAAAGTGACTTAGATCGCATTTGTTTTGGTTTTTTTAGAAAAAACCATTTCAAATGCGAATTATCTCCGAAACGAATCAATAGAATTTAAAAAGCAAAGCAGCTTAGTAATCACGATTAAATTGGCTTTCAAATAATGTGCCATTTGCCATAGGATTCCATTTAAAATTTTAGGGGTTAAGCTCCCTACGTCGAGGGGTGAAGACTTGGGTTCGTGATTTGTATTCCAAAAGTTGTCCCCCTTGAATACAAAATTGACGTGTTCGAGGATTTTTCGAAATTTCTAATTTTAATACCCAAAAAGCCCTCTGTATACTTCTCGTTGGGCCACTCTGTATGCCAATTATATCTGTCATATGAGATATATAAAGCAGTCTATTACGCCCAAGGGCATAATGGATTGTCACCTCATTATGCCCTCAAACGACCTGTCAAGTATATTGATGGAGTTATATTATGTAATACAAAAAGATGCTACTTGATTCATATGAACCATTTTAATGTTGGGCAAACAATAATCATTACATTTGCATATTGGAAATGCATTATTTGGAAAGATGAAAAATAAAATTTTGTATGCAACTCAGGCATTACTCAATATTTAACGATTTAAAGATTGTAAGGTACCTCCGTAACTCTTTTAGATTTCAAAGGTTTTAAAAACACTGATTTTGTTAGATGGTCCTGAAAAATAAATTTATAGTCTCCCTCTGGTCCTGTTTGCATATCTATAAGATCCACCTGCCCTCTTGAGTTCATGTTGTTGCTCAAAATTGGTCTCCGTTTCTACGTTTTCTACATCCCCAATGGTTAAAATGTCATACCTACCTCACACTGACACTGGAACCGAATTTATTAAACTTTGGTCATTTCATATTTGCACGGTCCTAGGTTTGACTGTTTGGAGACGACCGAAGCCCGAAATTGAAAGGAAATTCGGGCTTTGGTCGTTTTAGATAGTCCAATCCTAAGATTGAGCAAAAAAAAACGACCATTGGCCGTTTTCGGGCTGTGCGCCCAACATAGGCAACATTGACATTGCCTAATATTTCTATGTAACGCTATTACAGTGCGCACATTTTAAATTCTTTGAGGTTTTGTAAGTTAAGAGATGCCGTTTCAGGACATGGTGGTGATGTGTTACAAATTCACACTGTGCACATTTTAAATATTTGAAAGTATTGTGAGTTAACGTATGGCTACTTAACTTTGCTTTTTACTGGTACCAGCGGTCATGCACAGATGACTCATTTACAACCTGCAGGAGGAACCAACTGGCTCTATGCGGATTAATAGGCGCAATTAATATAAATGGTGCGAATGCGTGATCTTTCGTCTGGTATAGTAGTTTGTTGTATAATCACACTGTGCAAATTTTTATGATAACGCTTACACTTTAAAATATTTTAGTGTACTGCATATTTTTAAGCTGCAAGCGATTATTGATCATTATTACACACTACGTGATTAACTGTTATTCGAAATTGAGTATAACCTATAACTATCACTTTTTAATTTGATCGTCGTCTTATTTACTTTTACAATAATTTTCTTCATATTTTTCTCGATATTTTATTTATTTTTATTTTATTTTGCCTTTATTTTTGAGTGGGCGGAGTTTCAGCCAAGGCTGCTCTACAAACCCAACCCACTATACATTTACAAGTATCCATGGCCGAACCCGGATTCGAACCAGGGACCCTGAGCACCACAGTCCAGCTTTAACTGAACTGCGCCACACGAGTATTTTATAGTCATTCTGCTATTCAGGTCAGAGACGAATCCAACAAATCAAAGATCATGAAAATCAGTCCAGCCGTTCTTGAATTATAAGTGGTGTAACAAATAAAACTTTGTTTTATGTATGGGGTCATCATAAAGTAAGGGGTATACTTTAAAGTTTTATATAACTTTAAGAAATTAAGCTAGTAGCAAAACGCAAATGGAATCTAGTCTGGTAGACATAAGAATTCCCATTATTTAATTAGAAATCGATTTCATTTCACATTCTGTTGTTAAGTTAGTTTGTTATTAGAAATATATAATAATCTGAAATATATCCCTTACTTTATTATAACCTTGTATATAAATATTTATTTCGAAATGGAGTCCATTTCTTTTAAAGTATTTTTGTTGAAGAAATCGAAAAACAGTTTCTCTGATGCAAAAGTATTGGCACAAAAAGTATTGTACTGTAATGGAGGCACTATGGTGCATTAGAGTGGAAAGGTAAGCTCTATGCATGTCACTCTGCGTAATGGAGGAGTCAATAAAATGCGAATCTGATCGTACAGAATGCGTCCCATAATGCAATAAATACTGAACCACGACCAATGACAAAACAGTTTCACTTTTCAGTCTTGATGTTGACGCGACAAATAAATATGTATATGCTAAGTAAATAAATTAATGATAAAGGTTTATTTTGTAAATGTTTGCATTGTTATTAAAACGTTACCTACAGTAAAAAGCAACCTAATACTTACTGTCAGCGGCATCCCAACTTTGAAACTTAACAGGCTGAGCATAATTTACCATCGAGCTAAGCCACGGATGTACATTCGTTGTAGAACCTGTATACTGCACTACAGGGGCAGCGTCCTCGCCTGGCACTTCAGAAGGAGTGGTCTAAACAAAACCATCAAATCTACCTTAGTAACTGGAAACGATTGTTTACCTCAACCGGTACATCAGTTGAAGTTGCAGATGCGCTCGCATCCTCCTTTTCTTCGTCTTCTATCACAAACTGACCTTGCCTAAACAGCTCGAGTTCCATTTTCTCAACTTCAGGTTTCAATCTTTTATTTTTTATGAGAATCTTTCTTTTTAAACACGATGGTGGTGGTAGTGGTACGCCGGGTTCCAAGGGGTAATCTTCTAGTTGCTCCTTTAAAAGCAGGTCGCCTAACATTTCGTCGCAGTATTTTGCCAATTTATATTGTTGAGCTTTACAGCAGTGATTCTCGAATGACAATATCAAGGGAGAATCAGATGTGACAAAGGCAGTATCTCGTATGGCCATTATTACATCTTTAAAAAGAATATCCGTACACATAGCTTTTCCATGGGTAATAATTGGCTCTTCATCTTCACCTTTACCTGTAAGAGACAATTTCAGAATTGTTTGCTTGGTAAATCTAATCCCCAGAAACGGAATGAATTACCATCCCAACAGTCAAGTTCCACGCATCTGCATCCGGCTAACAAAACCTGCCGGTACATTTCAACCGAGGATTTTCCACCAAACTGGCGTCCACTTAAATACGTATTGTGACTAGAATTAATATAATAAGCACATAGGGGTTGATCCATATCCATATAAATATCTAAACGATCCAAAAACACAGGTGCATTTTCATCCGACATCAAATATCTACGAATGTTGATTAATTAAATCGCAATTGCACTTGGGATTCGTACCTAATTAAACCATCCTTTGTAAATCGATTCAACTTCTTGCTTTCTTCATCTTGTTCGTACGTCGATATTATTTCGGCGGCGCGCTTCTCGTCGTATAGCGGATATAAAATTTCATTTAAGCGAGGATCTCTTTGTTTATCATTCAAGAAGTTTATAAACTGTACCAAATTGATGTAGTCCGCTTTGCCTTGCGTGCTAAAGTGTGTGCGATTACGACGATTGTACGAAAAATGGAGAGAGACTTACATAGTTCGAAACAGATCTTCAATGTCATTACGTGGACAAATCTGATGGTATAATGCGTAAAATTTGTCGAATGTAAACTGGTCCGGTTCGATGATATCGTTCTTTCCACTTGGCAATCCTAGCTCGGCAAGACACTGATAGACGTACTTTTCCGTTTTACCGGACGCAAATGTACGCGCTATAACCTTCACGGGTACCTTTCCTCTCGGATCACACAAAAATCCCAATCTCATCCAACTGGAAACGGTTTGTGTTAACTTACATTTACTTATGGTAGTGTAATATCGATTAGAAAGATTGGCAGAAGCATAATATGCAGTCGGTCATATTCAAACTGAAAGTCCCAAATGGGAAGCGTCTTCAGTATGAGTATGTACTTCTAAATACAGGCGAGAAGCAAATAACTTAAGAGTTTTTGTGTAGCAAAAGCTTCTTTGGTGCACGACTTGTTTGGTCTTTACATGCAAACTAAGTTTGAAACCAAAGCATAAAATATAAAAACATCTACAAATACATTACAACTCGCATTACAAGTAAAATGAATTCATGCCATTACAGTAAAGTGCAAGAATAATGAATGGCCGAAGAGACAGCCGGCTGTCATGAATCTCCAAAAAACTGTGACTCTAGAGGTTCTGTCTCCTAGGACATTAAAAGTAGGTATTGGCCGAGGTATTGGCAGTTGTCGAAATACATGGAAATTAAGTTACAATGTCTGCGCAAGATATGAAACCAATCGCATCCTCTTTGTACTTAATGTAAATATAATGGAGATTCTTAAGACAAAAACTACCAATGTAGTCCTAGTCACGGTGAGATGTATGAAATGTAATATGGTGGCAATGCACTGTAAGAATAAGATGGAAAGCCTCTACTCAGTCTATCACACTTTCGCTAGTGGAATCTTATGGAGATTTCTTATGAAAATCCTAATAGCGCGCATTTATTTCTATATACAGGGCAAACCGAAATAGATAGAAGCTAATTGTAGAAAGCAAAATTTTCCAAAAAATTACCCGGCGGCTACACGGATACCGGCTGAGGTACGGTGCAATTCTCATAGTTTTCATCAATACAAGTAAATTTCCTAATATTAAGAAACCTGTTTTCAAAACAAAAAATAATAAAAACCAAAAATTCTTTTAAAGAATCAAAAATATTTTTTTTAATGTAACACCCTGTATATCTTAACGTCAATTTGTTGCCTTCTTTTTCCTGATTACATTGATGTATCCCACCCTATATTTTTTGATATACCTAATTATACTCGTATGGAAAAAAATTATTGCGAGTCTGACTTATAATAAGCTAGAAAAACACCCAATAAGCATTATATAAGCGTAAAGTAAGAATAGAATACACAACAAACTAAAAGCGCCGGTGCCATACAGGCTAGCATCAATGACACATTTAATATATATCTCTCTCTTTCCCCCCCTCCCTCCCTCAGTTCTATTGTTCGTAGACAAGTCATCGGTGATGCCTTACGAAATAGAGGAGTGAGGATGCCAGAAACTTTTTACCCTTTAACAACCCCAAGCAATATTCAAGAATTAAAAAAAATTACTGTGGCAATTTTATCTATTGATCCAACAGAAATAGTTAGAGTCTCCAGAAAAATTCCCGGCACATTGAAATGAACATTTTTTTATTGGTCAAATTTTTGAAACACATAACACGCAACCACTTGCGTTTTAGTAAATGGGTCGTTCACCAGGCGAAGGTTTCTCTCTCGCGCGCTACTCATAATATAACATATAGGAGCACAGAACTATGTTTTTGGACATGATCTTTTGGATTTGATTAAAATCCTCGTTAAAATCTGTAATCTCAAGTTGGCTGTTACGCTAAACGCCATTCAATGGGCGTGCAGATAATAAACTCAAATTCAATTAAACTTTTGACTAAGATTTTCTTTGAAGGGAGACACTAACGGCAAAAGAAAAGATATAGTGAGAGAGAGAGTGGGGTACAGACACAACGAACAGGAGGAAAGAGAAAAACGAAAGTGGATAAGAGCAACATGATAATGGCATTCTGGAATGTAGTAGGGGTAGTTGGTAAAGACGCTAAATTGTGGGAGTTTGTGAGAGGATATGCTGGCATCGAGATAGTAGAATCATGGATAGAAGAAAAGAACGATAAAGAACAGGATACAGGTCAGATGAATATATGAGAGTGTTAACAATATACTACAGAGAAGAAATGAAAGAGTTAAAAAATATAGAAAATATGGAAGACAAAAGGGATGAGGAACTAATGTGGGGAGGGGGGGGGGGGTTTTAATGCATGCCAGAACAGGAATTAAAGAAAAATGGGTAGAAATGGGAATACAAGACACAAATTAAGAGATAAAGAGAGCAGGAATGATCAGAAAAGAGAGATTGGAGAATTTTAAACGGAAATATGGAGGGAGATTACACAATAGAAAATAAAAACAAGTTGTAAATCAGCATATGCATGATTAAAGCGCATTTTTGGTAATGCAGGTGAGTATTTTATTAGCGAAGTTTAAAATTATCGATCTCCCGAGTAATTTTGGCTGCGCTAAATAATTAATTTTATTTAATTTCAATTGACGGTACGTCTTCATTTTGTAAAACAAATCACAAAGTAAATAATAAGTTTTTATACTGGTAGCGATATCTAACGGTAAAATTATAGCACCTCCGAAACCCATATCGAAATTATTTTCTTCAATTATCGATCTCACAAGTAATCTAACTCAAAATAGACTAGTGCCTGCACATCTACACTATAGCAGAAAGCTTTTAGTGAAAATTTGAAGTCTCTAGCTATTGTAGTTGTGGAGATCTAACGCGGACAGCCGGCCTGCCAGCAATGACGAATATAATAGCGTATTTTTTTCAAAAATGCGCTAAAAATAGATGAATTTAAGGTAGGAACAAGAATAGTACCGGATCACCAATCATCAATTTTTTGAAGGTGGCAAACAGAGGAAAAAAGAAAAATAGAACAAGTCGGAGGGAAATACAATTAGAGGAATGGAAACGACATTTTCTCAAGTTACTACAAGAAAAGCAATAATTGTGCCGATCTTCAAAAGAGGGAACAAAGAATGTGTGGGGAAACTACAGAGGAATTACTATAATGACTACAGCGTATAGAATCTATGCAATATGATACAGGAAACACCAATGGGCTTCAGAAAAGGGAGGGGAACGATCGGATATGTATACAGGGTGTTTCGAAATTCGCGCACACGGACTATAATATGATGTTATACGACAAAAACTGAACAAAAAGCCCCTCTACCAACTTTCCATCAGACCGCTATTTTTCGAACTACCGCGGTTTTAAAAATCTCCCCCCCCCCCCCCACGATGCGCCACTGGTTAAACTTAATAATAACACATTTTTAAAAACAAAAGAAGGTTTAAAATAAACTATAATTATGACGAGTACGTAATTAAACAGTTGTTCAAAATGTCCGCCCTCTGCTAGTAAACAAGTTTCAGAACGTCCAAAAAAAAAGTGCCTGTCTGATTAACAACTGGTAGAGGAACTTTTTATTCAGTTATCGTTGTATAACACCATCGCGTTTGACAGAGTGGTAAGGGAAGAAGTATGGAAGATGGGAAAAATTGACAAGGATTTAAAAGATCAAGGGACTACATGGGGAGACAAGATTGAGGGTAAGAATAGAAGGAAGGAGTATGAAGTGTTTTGGACTAATCTCTACTTTGACTTGGAAAAAGTATTACGACCGGACCACAGTGGAGGGATAGTAGTGGGAAGAAGAAAGATAAGGCCCCTGGCATACACGGACGCAGTTATCATGACACCAGATAGTCCAGTCAAATGATCATAATACCTTGCATCAGATGTGTCATTTATATTTTCTTTTTAAATTGTTAGGCTGAGTATGGATGTCAAAAATCCAAGTTTTTGACATCCAAAGACCTGTGCGAGCAAGGCAGCACTAGAAAATACGCCATTTTTTCTATTATCTTTAGGTTTTGGGTAGTTTTAGTTCTGAAGGACAGATTTTAAAGCAATTACTGTCGTATACTTGTTTAGACTAGACAAAATTTGTGACAATTCAAGCCCTTAACCGGCTCTGTAAGTCTAATAGTTTTGGAGATACAGCGTTTCAAAAATTCGTAAATTATTCAGTTTTAATCAAATTTGCCTTTTTTTTCGCATAAAAACCTCATGAACATTTTTATAATTTTGTTCGTTTGGGGGACTTTGTGGTGAGGAGTCTCCATAAAATCCGCACAGAAAGAGCTAGAATGTTGATATCCTCTGGATCCCCAGCATCTCCCATGATAAGAAAGTTGTCATCTTCTTCTTCTTCTTCAGCAAGATCCACTACCTGTTGCATGGATTGCGAAATCTATGAATTTTTCCTTTTGCTTGACCTTGCTCGACCATTCAAAAGGGACACCGAATATAGATCTGTGACAGTAGCAGAAAGGTTACTCACAACACTATGGTTTGAATGAATAACGCATCATATATAAACATGGACATTTTTCCACTAAAAGACAAAAATCAATATTTAATTTGTTTTCATTATTCGCAATTTTTAGCACTTCTTCAACAACAAGTTTATTACGACTTACGACAATTCATCGTGCATATTTGATAACTTTAGTTTCTGCGAAGAAAAAACGCAAATTTTGATAAAACTTGTAAAACTAATAAATTTACCAATAGTTGAAGCACCGTAGCTCGGAAACTATTAGACTTGCGGAGATCGTTAAGGGCTTAAATTGTCAGAAATGTTGTCTATTTCAAAAAAGTATACGACGAATTGCATTAAAATCGGTTCTTCAGGAGTAAAACTTACAAAAACCAAAAAATGGTAAGAAAAATGATATATTTTCAAGTGCTGTGTCGCTCGCACAGGTCTTTCAATGTCGAAAACTTGGATTTTTCACATCCATATTCACCCTAACAATTTAAAAGAAAAAATAGAGATGACATCTGATGCACGGAATGCCCATTTTTTTGTCTAATTTGACTGTACTAAGAGGTACAACAGATGAAGGAAATTATGGGAAGACTGGAAGGGTATTGGGAAAGGAAAGAATGGAGCTAAATGTAGAAAAGTCCAAGATGATGAGATTGAGGGGGGGGGGGGGAAAAGGGGAGATGGGAGGGGGCTCATGGGTGCTCATGTACGAAACGGAGAACGAAGAAACCGGCCCGTGTGGCGCAGTTCAGTTAAAGCTGAACTGTGGTGCTAAGGGTCCCTGGTTCCAGAGTTG